ATGAAATGACAGTCTATGGACACCCCCATGGAGGGCCTCACCCTCCCTGGGGAAATGAAGGGATAATGGGGGAGTTGGGAGGAGGGCACAGGAGGAGGGGAGGGAAAGGGAGAGGGACCTGGAACTTGTGAACCAACCATGTTTCCAATCTAAACTTAAACTTAAAAATAAAAAAATTAATAAAAAGAAAGCAGAAGGCATTGTCTTTTACCTGACTCAAAGCCTATTGCAAAGCAATAATGATTAAAAGGGTATGGCATAGTTTTTAAGAGGTGACTCAGAGGTCGGGAACATTGGCTCCTCTTCCAGAGGAGCTGGATTCAGTTTGCAGTATCCACATGCTGACTCACAACCATCTGTAACTACAGTTACTAGGATCTGATGCCTTCTTCTGGCCTCTGAGAGCACCAGACACACATGTAGTGTTCATACATACATGCAAGAGAAACAATCATGTGCATAAAATGGAAATAAATAAGTGTTTATAAAGTATAGCAATAATGGAGAAGCAGATACATTGATCTGAAATAGAGCAGAGGGTCCAAAAATAAAGCTGGTCCTTTACAGTCTAAGAACATACACCAGACAAGATATAGTTTCTTCAGAGGAATTAAGTAAGGAAATGGCTAACTACAGACAGAAAAATGAAATTTCAGCCTTGTCTCAGACCACATGTAAAAACCAACTCAAGATGGATGAACCGGCATAAGACTGAAAATGTAAGCAATTAGAAAAACACAAAAAGAAAATAATCAATGTTGCTTTAGAGATGCTATCTGGAATATGTCACTCAAATCCAGGCAACATGGAAGTCAGAATTAACAAATGGTGTTATATGGGATTGAAAGAAGCAATTAATGGTGTAAGAGATATCCCAGGAATTGGAGGAATGATTTATAAATATCTATCTGATGTGAAGCTAGTATCCAAAAGTGCTTGAGGTCTCAATTCAACAAGAAAACAAATACCCTATTCTAAATATATATAAAGCACCTGAACAGGTATTTCTCAAAAGGAGACACACAGATAACCAAAGGTATATGAAGGCAACTCCCACTATCATGGAGATGCAAATGGGGACAGTGAGACACCTTACATGTGGTAGAATGGTTATTATAAGCAATATGAAAGACAGTGCTGAGGTCAGCAATACGGCTCAGTGGTTAAAGGTGCTAAGTTTGGCGACCTGAGTTGGATACCTGGGACTCACAGGGTAGATGGAGAGAGCTCATTCCTGCAAGTTGTCCTCTGATCTCTACACACACATTGTGACATGTGCATACATAAATATAATTTCAAATTACTAAGATAGAGCCATCAAGGGCATGGAGAAAGGAGGCCTTTGTATACTGTAGATGAGAATGTACATTAATGCAGCCATTAATGGAGAACAGCGTTGGTGTTCCTCAGGAGACAGGAAATGGAGTTATCACTGACTTAAGTGGTCTCGCTTCTGGACGCGTAGCCAAAGAAAGTGAAACCACCATGGCAAAGGGTGAGAGATAGTGGCTCTCCCATGCTCATTGCAGTATTATGTACAATGAGCAAGGTGTGAAATCAACCTGGTTTCATTGTCGGAGGGTGTGGTGTGGATGATAATGAAATACTACTAGGCCATTAGAAAGAGGGAGCATATCTCATATTAAAAAGAGGGAACATATCTCATATTTTCAAATTGCCAAAGGGGATTTTAAATGCTTTCCCCACACAAAAATTCTAAATACATGAGATAGTGTTTTTGTTTGTTTACATGATTTGATCATCCCATAGTGAAAACATATAGCAAAAATAACATCATCTGCCAGCTAAAAACAATGTTATGAAAAAGGTCACTTCCTCAGATAGGGCTTCCCAACTGTCCCATTAAAAGAATGTTTGGTGGGGGGATGTACATATATTTCTCTTATTGGTTGATGAATAAAACACTGTTTGGCAATAGCCAGTAAAGCCAAGAAGATAGGCAGGGTGAGGAGACAGGAGAATGCTAGAGAGAGAGGCAGAGAAACCATGAGGAAACTCCTTGTAGCCACCAAAGGAGTAACAGGTCTGGGCATTCTCCGGTAAGCCAAGGCCACATGGAAATACATAGATTTATAGAAATTGGTTAATAATTAAGACAGAGCTAGCCGGTAAGAAGCCCTCACTATTGGCCAACAGTTTATAAATCAACATATGTCTGTGTGTGTTTATTTGGGGCTGAAGGGCATGGGACCAGGCAGGAGAAAAACTCCAGCAACAACTGTTAGTCTCCTAAATGCCACTTCAGATTCCTTACCAGCACATGATTCAAGTCAGAGCTGCTGGTTCATCTGTTACCAACTTGACTTTGACAGACCTAAGTCTTTCTGGGACCTTAGTAGTAAGGGTTACAAGAGAATCCCCTGCCCCGTTGTTGAGGTTGACCAGAAATCTATAAGGAGGCATGCCTGGAGGGACACGCCTGTCAATTCAGTTACTTGGGGAGCTGAGGCTGAGTGTTTAAGAGTTCAAGCTCAGGTTGGGCTGCATAGTGAAGCTCTGTCTCTCTATAAAAGTAAAAAGGGGCTTTCCAGCAGACAGAAAAGTTTAGAGGAGGGAAGTTTGATGGTAACAGTTGAATCCCTATCAGTGTGAGGTAGACTAGAGTTCCTCAAATAGAGACTGTTAAATAAACTGCACAGTCTATTCAATTCAAATAATTCAAACTTTCCACCCAGTAATTTAAAAAGAGAGGCAGTTCAGTTCCATTAGTGACCAGTAGCTTGTTGTGATTAGCCCCTTCACAGATGATAATCATGAACTCTGTACAAATGTTTAAAAGAAAATACTTGATGTTGCTAGAGAGAAACGAAGGATAGATACACTATGGAAGAGATTCCGTGCCTTGAGGAAAAGTAGCCACCCAACATCTGCCCAGGTAAAATGGAATGCTTGACCCAGAGAAGCTAGAGCTAAGGCAGGGAACTGTGGGTTGGATGGTTTAATTGGCAGCTACAAATGAAGGGGAGAGCGTGGTGAGTCAAGAGATGTTTCAGTTCCTCTCAAGAGGATTAGCCAAGGATTTCCTGAAACTGCACTACATCCCCAATCCCTCCCTCAGACCAATTCTGTTTTTCATTCTTACCGGCAGTTGTTGATTGGCGCTCTTCAATAGGCCTGACTTTAAGACACTATGGGGATAGAGGGGCCTCTCTGAGGAACCTGATGCAAAACAATAGAAAGTCTTTTGCATATATGTTCTTGTCAAGTGTGATAGAGTATCACCAACTGCAGCGGGACATCATCAAGACAGATCATGCTGAAGCTTAGAGTTAGTCTCGGAGCTGCAGAGGTAGCTTCGTCAGTAAGGTTCTTGTATTGTAAACATGAGGACTCTGGTAAAAATCAGGCACAGCAGTGTGTATCAGTGCCTCGTGGAGGTATGACTTGACCAGAAGCAAAAGCAGGCCAGCATTACCCTACCTTATCATTGAACAAAGGCATGGACTGTAAAGACTTTAAATTTTACTTTAAGTAAAATTTATAATAATAAAATATAAAAACTATGGCAAAAACTATAGTTCAGTTCCATGGCTTAAGTACTTAAACAGTCATTGTTCTCAATCTCAAACAATGAGGTTTTAAAATTTATTCTTAGGTTGGTGCGATGGCTCAGATAGTAAAGGCCTGTGAGTTCAGTTTCCAGTCCCACAGAGTGGAGGGAGGGAACAGATACCTTAACATTGTTTTCTGGCTCCCGTGAACTGCACGCACGCGCGCGTGCGCGCGCGCGCGCGCGCACACACACACACACACACACACACACACACACGCTCGCACTCCAAATTCATTAATAAACAAATAGAATAAAATATTTCCAGAAAAGTGTGTGTGTTTGTGTGTGCGTGTGTGTGCGCGCGCGTGCACGTGTGTGTCATAATATGTTTTTGTTACCATAACAAAATGCCACAGACCATATGGCTTAAACAGCAGGAATTAATTTTCTCACAATCTGGAAGCCAGACACAGAACATAGCATGGTAGGGCCTGGTGAGGGCCACCTCTCTGCTTGCAGGTGGCTGCCTTCACTTGCGCCCTTACAAGGTACAAAGGGTGTCCCTTCCTAAGAAGGGTTCTACTCCCACCCCAGGGCTCCACCATCAACACTTACCCGACTCTAGTTACCTCCCAAAGGCCTCATCTCCAAATCTCTTCTCACTGGGGAATCTGATCTTCAACACATGAACTTAATGGGGCCCATCTCAGTCTTCAGCATTATACATTCAAGAAAATTTGGAAAACACAAATAAATAGGAAAAAATCAAATAACATGTTACCAAAGTGTATTCAGTGCTATGACTTATTTATAATTTATAAGTTGTGTTACTTTTGTATTATCCTTTCTTTTTTCCAGTACTGGGGATCCTACTCAGGGTTTCCTACATGCTAGGTCCCTCTACCACTGAGCTATAGTCCCAGTCATTTAAAAATGTATATATACTTATTTATCCATTTAATTCTGAGAGAGGCTCCTTCTGAGTTATTCAAGCTGCCCTTGAACTCACAGCAGCCAGGCAGGCCTTGAACTATTGATCTGCCTTCCTCTGCCTACAGTGTAGCGGTGATGCTGGTATGTGCCAGCAAGCTCAGGCTTGATGTGTTTAACGGGACAGCATGAAATGTAATTTGTTACTAAAGATGCTCCATCTGGACCCCTTTTGAATGGACAGAAACAATTCACTGAGTGGCTGATTCATCCTGTGACTGAATCCTGAGTCACAGGTCTTTTAACACTGTCAGTAAGGCTTTGATAAATCTATTTATGCATGAGGTTTTTACCTGTTACTTTGATTATTTTTCTTAATGTAGAATTCCTGAAAATGGGAGTTGTATGCTGTTAAGGTATATTGCCAAATAGTCTCTAAAAGTGTGTCCCAGTGTGCAAAGCCACCAGCAGTGTACTGGAGATGCCCTTCATCTGTTTGCATTTAAAGGGGAGGAGGTTGACTCCACTAATGTGCTTACTGGATTGCTTCCAACAGGTAAACAGAATCCTGTGAAGCCCACTTCCGGTGGTGTAGACCCCCGGGGCTGCTCGGACCACAAGCCTCCTCGTGCTCCCTGCCTGCTGGCAACCTGTACTTGGAGCCTCCCCTGGTTGCTTTTGTGTGGACTGACGGAGGCCTCTGCATCTAACGCAGCCATGAACTTCCTCCGGAGGCGTCTGTCTGACAGTAGCTTTGTGGCCAACCTGCCCAATGGCTACATGCCTGACCTGCAGCGTCCAGAGAGCTCCAGTAGCTCCCCAGCATCGCCGGCCACGGAGAGGAGGCACCCCCAGCCCCTGGCTGCCTCCTTCTCTTCTCCAGGATCCAGCCTGTTCAGCTCCTTCTCCAGTGCCATGAAACAGACTCCACAGGCCCCCTCGGGGTTAATGGAGCCACCAGCTCCTGTCACACCCGTGGTTCAGAGACCCCGGATCTTGTTGGTGATCGATGATGCCCACACCGACTGGTAAGCGGCTTCAGGAATGGAGCCTGTATGGGGCTGCCTTAGCTCTTACAAGGACAGACTAGATACCCTAGTGCTCTAAAAAGCTTTTGTTGTTTCTGAGGCTAGCAGGGTGCAAGAGGGGATTACCAAAGAGAAACGGTATGCCTTTTTTAGGGGCCTTACACTGACAGAGCCCCATCTGCAAACGCCAAGTCTAACAGCTCTGAAATAAACAAACTGAGGTCCCAAGTCTGGAAAGTTCCATGTGAATGCTATAAACATCCTGAAGTGTTTGATGTGGGCGCTTCGAGTGTTCTAGAGACACAGTACAGAAACCACATGATCTTTCTAAACAAGGAAAGTTCTTAAGTGGCTATTTCATTCAACATTTTTACAAGCATATCTGTGGGGGGGTGTGCACGCACACGCACGCGCATGTATACGTGTGGTCTCATGTATGTGTCTTAATGAATATGCTCTATGTGGAGGCCTGAAGTTGACATCAGTTGACTTCCTGGACCAGTCTCCACTTTGTTTAGAGGCAAGATCTCTCAGTTAACCCAGAGCTTACTGACTCTTTCTAGATGAGCTAACCAGCTGCACACACACACACACACACACACACACACACACACACACACACACACACACACTGCCATGGCCCCAGGATTCCCTGTCTCTGCCTTCCAAGGGCTGGGATTACAGGTGACCTCATGACTGTCAGCATCTGATCTCCAGCCCCCAAGCTTGCAAGGTAAACACTTCATCCACTGAGCCATCTCCCCAACCCCTAACCACATGTTTGGCCTTCATCTGCGCTACTTGTCTTACCTCTGCCCCAACTATTTGCCAAGAAAGTTCCTTACTGTTGGAGGAGGGATTTAATACTGGAGTCACTGTGCTGTGGTGAGGTAACAGCTAGGCAGAGTCCCTGCCCTGTGTCCCAATCCCCCTTCCAGCTCTGTAGCTCTTCTAACCTGCTGTGCCTAAATGTAGTAACTACCTCATAAAGGGACTTTATGGCAGTAGGCATCATCTAAGTTAATATAAAAGTCCCCGGCAGCTACAAAGTGCCCTTTAAGTACACATGCATGCTATCCTGTGGCTCTCTCCGTGTGACACTGATCATGAGAGCAGTACCTGTAGGCATTTTGGGCGGATCTGGTGGGACAGGTATTCTGGCACTCGGGAGCCACAGAATACTGAGTGTTACACAGCTCAGGTGGAAAGGTATCCTGGAGCTCGGGAGCCAAGGACTACCACAGGCTGCAGTAAGCGTAGCAGCTTACAGCCCTGCCTCAGGGAAAGGCTTCCCCAGTGTATCTGCTCTGCTCTGCTCAGGCAGGAGAGGGTCTTCCAGCTGGAGATGTTTGCCCAGTGTAGCAGTTTTCCTGGGCAAGTTGCTACAATTCAGCTCTGCTCCTGGGAGAGTGGAGACTCCGCTCTGCCAAGAGAAGGTTTCCCGGCAGAAGTGTTAAGCCCTACTCCCTCTGCTCTACCCGGGGTCCTCTCTGCTCCTCCGAAAAAGAAGGTCTTCACCCAAAGCTCATCAGGGGTTTATTGGGAGGGAAGAATCCAGGAGAGCGGCTGCCCTCTGACAGAGTGGCAGAGGACAGCAGAGTAGCATGAACAGCCACAAGCTGAACAGACACAGAGTTTATATAGGGCTTCCAGGGTGGGGCTTGGTCAGATTTCAATGCTAAGCTCACATTGGTTAGATCTCCTGCTCAAGGATTGGCTAGTTTTCTGCACAGGGTTAGGGTCATATTTGGCTCTGGCTTTAGGGTCAAAGTGTGTTTCTTTCTCTGGTCCTTTTTAGCCTTTTGGTTCTAGTTTTAGGGCCAGGGTGCATTTCTTTCACTGACTCTGAATCCAGGGACAAAGTGTGTTTCTTTGGCACTGGTTTCAGGGTCAGGGTGCATTTCTTTGGTTTTGATTGCAGATCCAAAGTGTGTTTCTTTGGCTCTGCTCTGGTGTGTTTCCTTGGCTCTGCTCAGGGTGTGTTTCCTTGGTTCTGCTCTGGTGTGTTTCTTTGGCTCTGCTCAGGGTGTGTTTCCTTGGTTCTGCTCTGGTGTGTTTCCTTGGCTCTGCTCTGGTGTGTTTCTTTGGCTCTGGTCAGGGTGTGTTTCTTTGGCTGGTCCTTTTCCCCTACAGTACCTTCCAGGAATTCTTGGTTTGCTTCTCCGTTCCTTGGTATTGTGCAGAAAGGACAGGTTTATCCCCTTGTTTCCTGTTGGCCATGCCTTCCTGCTCAGCCCCTGGTGAGTACTCAAATCTTACTGCCCTGTATAGCCATAGAGCATGCTGTACCTTAGCAAGGCACAGTGAGCAAGGCTGGAACCACCCAAGAAGCATTTAAATGCTGGCTTTGGTCATCAATCCTCTTAATCTTTAGGAATGAGGGGTGTGTGAATTTTAGGCCATGCTCCCTTGAGGGTGGGAACTGGAGATCCTCTTTGGCCTAAGTAGTCTCTCGGTGTGTTGAAACATCTGTCACTTGCTCACACTATAATTAAATCTTAAGAACAGCAGTGTCCAGTTTCTCTCATTCTTCTTGCCCTTTGGTGGGGAAAAGTCCTTATGGACCCTGCTGGGAGGTGACTCCATATTCCCTGAGCATTTGTGACCAAGAGACTTCCCACCACAGACCCGTCAGCTTTTCCTTTGAATTCCATTCTTGAATCTTCGTGGAGTTTCTAACCATTCAGCATCCCAAGTAGCATTGCAGTCGTCTCCAAAGTAATGTTCCTTGGGTGCCTAAAATGGGTCTTGCTGGTTGTGGTGGTGCACACCTGTAACCCTTGAACGCAGGAGGCTCAGGTTGGAAGGGCTGCAAGTTCAAGGTCAGCCTTGGCTGCATAGGGAGACTGTTTCCAGAACTAAAAACATGCAGACACCAGAACATGTTCAAGCCCACAGACTTCTCCAAAACTGCCTGGCCACAGCTACCAAAAGTAGCCAGAAGGTGGCAGGCTAGCCCCATGGTCCAGCGTATCCTGGCAGACCCGGCTGCCTCCAGGTCCAACTTTTTCCCAGCTCCTCTTTCTTTGTGTGAAGGTCTCCAGAGGGGAGCAGGTTGTGAAAGGAGAAGAAGCCAGCTCCCACAGCTCCTCCTTCTCTCTTAAATGATAGTGAGGTGGGCATCTACTGTCTGGACTGAGAGTGACCACACCCCCAGCCCCACAGGCATGCTGCTGTCCCCTTCCTGAGCCTTTCCATACTGAGTCCTGCATTTCTTCCTTTCCTGGTCCAGGGCCAGTCTGTCTCATGAGGTTGCCTTGCAAGCAGAGGGTGTTGTGGGAACCCATACATCTTCTGGAAGTCCAGCTGGCAGATTATTTAAACATGGAGGCCCTCTCAATTCCACCTGAGAACTGCCTAGAAGAGACCTGCATTTATTTTGTTATATTTTTTCTTAATTTTCTTCCTACCTAGTCCCTCAATAACAAACCCTTGGAGAAAATGACACACCCCTTATGGCAACCTTAACAGTCATCAGGTGGTCAGGAAAGGGTGGTGATTTGTGGGCACCTTCTTCTCTCTAAGATGGAATATGGTAGGACCCAATCTTATGCAAGTATCCATAGCTGCTGTGTATTCATAGTTGCAGTAACAATGCCATATCCAGATGGCAATGTTTATGACACTCCTCCCCACCCTCCTACTCCTCAGTTCTTTCTGCCCTCCCTTCTGTGATGTTCCCAGGTCTTGACTTGGGGAACGATATACATATCCCAACTAGGGAGGGATGAATGCTCATCAATCATATAGAGTCAGCACTTGGACCAGATATTAATCTTTGCATTAACAGACATCCTCTGCACAAATGGAGATTTTCTGCCCTAGACTTTGAACACCATTAGTCTGTGGGTGCAAACATAGATATTTAGAAGGCAGCTTGACAGCCTGTCCCTGGAGAGAAACAGGAGGGAACATTCTCCCTCTGAGCCCATGCCCTTCTCCACCACACGCTTTTGATCAGGTTTATAGTGTTTTGTATTTTCTAAAGAGAAACTCACATCCCAAAGCCTCCTTTGCTGCAAGGATCCATGGCTGACACTGTAAGATGCAGCTTGTGAAGGTGAATGGAGCCAGACAAGGGTCTCTAGAGAGCTTCTGGCCACACTGCGGGGGGTCTGGCTTAGGGGCAGGTCTGCCCTCTGGGATGGGGAAGAGCAGTCAGTGTTGAGAACCACAGGAGAAAGGAGTGAGCAAATGAGTCCTATTCAAGCTGTTCTCTTCAGCCTGCTGCCCATGCACTGGCTCTCTCGCCTAGAATCCACAGCAGTTTCCCTGGCTGCGAGCTTCCTGTCTTGACCTTGTCTCCTGGTTACCTTCTAACCAAGCGTCCTCTCTTGGTAATCAGCTTCCGCCCTCGGATGGTGCATCACCAGCTAAACGTCAAGTTCGTTCATAAGCTGTGTGCCTGCTGTCTTGGTATGTGTCCTGCTTTGTGAACAGTTCCCAAGCACCTTGCCTTAGAACTTTCTGTTCCCTATTCCCTAGAAATCCTTCCCTGTTGTGATCAGGCAGCCAATTTCTGCTGATTCTCAGACGCTTGTAAAGACGTTACCTCTTCTGGGGAACTCCTGTGACATGACTGTCTTATCACAGTGCTGGTCACTATCTCCCCAGTGTAATACATGTTTCACTGCAGCCTCATGGCGCATGTCACAGCAGATTGCAATTGTCTCTGCAGCCTCTTGGTGCATGTCACAGCAGATTGCAATTGTCTCTGCAGCCTCTTGGTGCATGTCACAGCAGATTGCAATTGTCTCTGCAGCCTCTTGGTGCATGTCACAGCAGATTGCAATTGTCTCTGCAGCCTCTTGGTGCATGTCACAGCAGATTGCAATTGTCTCTGCAGCCTCATGGCGCATGTCACAGCAGATTGCAACTGTCTCTTCCTTAAGTTGCTTCTTCATCTTTATATTTAGAGCCCAATGCACACTCAGTGCTCATTTGGTGTATGTCGTTGTACCCATCCCTGCCTAATCAGGGTGACATAAACTTGTAAGTAC